GAGGAGAGAGGATCATTTGAGCATAGTTTTAGTCCAGCCTGGGCCAACACAGCAAGTCTCCAACTCAAATAAAAATCCTAGCAGCATTTTTTTATGAAATACTGGTAATGATCTAAATGTTCATCAGTGAGAGAATAACTAAGTAAACAATACATTCACAGTACAGAATATTCTGCAGGAGCTAATGAGTGCTTTCATAATAATGAGTAACTTAGGTTTATTTTTATAATTCAGATAGACCTATTGTGAATATTTTTAAATTTGTAGAATAGAGGGTATAGAATTTCATATATGTAAACCACTAGAAACAATACTGTGTACACATAATTTACAGATGTGCATATTTACATAAGCACCTGGAAAGAGCTGTGAAAGGTTAAACAAACCCAGTTTAGATTGCTTCTGAGGAGGTGGCAAGAGATAAGGAGGGATGAGTGGCACGTGTTGGCCTAGGAAACAGTTTGGAGGGCAAGAAACAAGGGATTTAGTCATATAGGTGAAGTCTCATTTTATTTTCTAGTCAATTATTTCTGTCTTATTGACTGAATGAGTCTGTCTGAGGACCAGGTTCTCTCTCCTCTACATGTGCTGGCCTTTGCACAGATTGTCCATTTGCTAGTCTAATCTAGACCTAGCCAAATATTCAAAGAACAGGCTGCACAGACATACTCTCCAACCCTCGCAGGACAGGATCAGTGACTTTCCCTCCCTCCTTGCCCTTCCCTCCATCCAGTAGTACTCACTAGATGCCAGAACCTTAAGGAATGAAAAAGGTCTGCTATCCTGAGCTGTGAGTTAATGGTAGTTGTACCCACTCTTGACTAAGCAGGTTCCTAGCACCCTTCGAAGCATGCTGTGTGGTCTGCTGGGAAGTCTTCCTCCTATGTGATGGGAAAAATACTTGGAAGTTATGTTTCAGGGAAATAATGAACTCTCTAGACTCTAATCTGTTGAGGTTTTTGTGTGGCTTCCTTTGAGCTATCCACTTCCTCAGCTCTCACATATAACACCAAGAAAAGAGGAATGACTCCCCTCTGCTCCAGTTTGACAATTAAAAGTTGGAAACACATCCAGAAAAACTCATGTCAAGTCCTCCTAATCACAGATTTATGCATTTTTCTACTTAAAGGTTCTTCATTTTAAATCAAAGGCTTATACATCTTCCTATTTGGCAAACTGGAAACATTTAGACACATTCTAAAATGATATAGAAGCAAAATCCTCACATCACTAACAATCCTTTCCAATGATCTCAGTTCTACACTATAAATTCCAGTGTATTTCCTTTCTCTGATCCCCACATCCCTTAGAGTTTTCTGCATTCTCTGAAACTGCAGCAATAAGTTACAGACTGTAGGATCTATTTGGTACTCACTGCTGAACTCTTGCAGCCCTGTCTACTGTGTTGTGCTACTGATTCTCTATATTTCTTTCTCTTGAAGTTCCTAATGCAATGGTTGGTTGGTTACTTAATCTGTTAGCATATGGAAGCAGCTGGTGTGTAATCCTCACAAATCCTTGATTCCCTTAGCTAGTACTGATGTAGTGCCCAGGCCAGCCTCTGGGAAGACCCCATATTTTCTCTGTTATCCATTTTCCCTGAATGTTGCAAGGAAACTGTGAGTCTGGGGCAGAGCTGGTTCCTTCTAGGTGTGGCCTCCCAGAATTCAGGAATCCAAGGGAAGGCAGGTTCTGCTTCTAATCCCAAGCACTTTTTTGCCCATTACCACCCAGGGGGAAGGCCCAAAATAGACAGACACACACACACACACCCCTAGGATCAGCTACATAATTTGTGTGCCCAATGCAAAATGAAAATTTGGGAGTCCCTGTTCAAAAAGTTTCAAGTATTCAAGACAGAAACAGTAGAGCATTAAACCAAATGGAGACATTCTAAGCAAAGCCTTGTGAACCACACAGACTGCAGGCCCACAGAACCCACCATGTTTCTACTGGGCCTCCAGGAGCAAGCTTGGCCTCTCTTCCATGATGACTCAGCTTTGTCCTACTGTTCTCCCCACAACACAGACACAGGTTGAACCCACAGAGAGCAACACAGAGCAAGAAACTCAGCCCAGCACTCTGTACCAACTTGCTTTGGTGCCAACAGCCAGGCAAATTCCTGTGAGCTTGTCAGAAATGTGGGCTCTCAGACTCCACCTCAAAACCACTGAACTGGCATATGCATTTTAACAAGTCCCCAGAAGTCTCCTGTGCACATTAAATTTGGAGAACACTGGCTAGAGCTCTGTATTTGATACTGCCCTGTTTTGCTGACTTCTCAGATAACCTGGTAAGAAGCTCCTCTAGGGTTCTCAGTGGCTGACAAGTTTAAGCCTGTAGGGAAAGGAAGACGATGACCAGAAAAGGGGCAATAAATAATGGAGTTGGTTAAGTGATGTCTGAGGCATGTCTCTGGCCTTCAGCCAAATGCCACGAGTAGCACAGCTCCAGTTGAACAAGTTGATTTTTAAAATGATACAAATGAGAGGATGTACACTAAAAAAGAGTGGGGGCATGTTTTAAAATGGGAGTTAGGATTCAGTATAGGAGTTGGGATTGTGGTAGGTGGTTTGTTTTTATACATTAAAATTTTCAGTTGTTTCTTTTATTGTCTATGGATTTTGAATCACAGATTTTCTCTAAAATTAAATTGGAAGTCATTTAGGTTTTCTGCTAATACTTGTATCTACTTTACATTTATATCTCTAGTTCGGTTGTATTTTATTTTGATGTAAAGTATTAATAAGGATCTTTTATCTTTTTTGCAAATGGTTATTTATTTTTTCAGCAGTAAGTCTTTTATTTTTTGCTCCAGTGACTTGAGATGGCACCTTGAGATGACACCAGTATACCAAGTTTCCAAAGGCATTTCTGTCTATTCCTAGGCTATTCTGTTTCACTGGTCTTTCGAGATATTCATGTACCAATATAACTGTTTTAACTGTGCAGACTTTATAGAGACTTTATATCTTTTAATGTCTAATAAGGCTAGTTTCTTCGGTGTTTCCATTTTTACTGTTTTTCTTCTTAAATCCCTAATATCCCTAAAATGCCACCAAAACACCCTGCACCTTCTAAGGCTTCATTAGTATAGTATTTTATTAAATTAAATTACATTAACTGCAGAAGACATAGGATATTTAGGATTTAAATTACAAAAATAATTATTTATAGGCATTTTTCTGACCATATATGAAATTCTTAGTTTTTCACAATTTGTGGGTGCTCTAGGAATGCAACCCCTGCAAATTTTGGGGGTCCATTGTATTTGTTTTCTACATTGTACTTGCCAAAAATGAATAACCTGAACTTAATCATGAGGAAATATAAACCAAAATTGAGTGACATTTTATAAAAGAACTAATACTCTACAAAGGAGCCAAAGTCATGAACAAAAAAGTATGAGGAATTGTCTCAGATTAAGATATGGATACAACAAATGCACTGTGCAGTCCTAGATGGAATTTTGGTCCATAAAGGAGCTTGGCACAAGTGACGAAATTTGAATGAAGTCTGTAGATTAGGTAATAATAATGTTTCAATATTAACTTGCTGGTTTTAATTTTACTGTGGTCATGTAAGATATAGACATTTGGGGAAACAGGACAAAGGATATAAATAAATTTTTATTTTTGCAATTTCTTTGTAAGCCTGAAATGATTTAAATTTCAAAGGTAAACAAAATATGATGAGGGCTGGGGATTTAGCTCAGTGGTTCCGCCACCTGCCTTGCAAGCACAAGGTCCCAAATTCGATACCCAGTACCAAAAAAAAAAAAGATGAAAAATATTCAAACATAGTGGTGCCTCTCAGCACTCAGGGGAGTCTGAGGCAGAGGGATCAAAAGTTCAAGGCCAGCCAGGTCTACACAGCAAGACCTTGTCTCAAAAAAATTAGAAAAAAAATTTAAGTTAGATACAATACATATATATACACACACACGTATAGATATTATAATTTACTTAGCAAACATTTAAATAGTTCATATACAATAAATCTCTTTGCCAAGTGAAGAGGTGCACTTGCTACAGAAAATATCCAAGCAAATGGGTGAGCAAGACAGTCTTGCTATGGGAGGGAGACTTGTGGGGACATTTCATACAGCAGTGGCTTTGACTGAACTGTCAGTATAAGAATCAGGCTCTTAGTCTACAAAGTCTCTTATGAGGACCTGCCAACCATGTCTAGGCTATGTGGGCCTCATTTCAGATGGCAGGCAGGATGCCTGCTATCTTAGTCTGTTTTGGCCAGATGAAAAGATCCATGGTGTAGGATACACATTATGGTCACTGATTATTGACGATGCCATAGTCATCCACATGGCCTCTGAAGTTGCCTGTGATGATGTTAGTTAAGATGCAAGTTTAGTAACTGGTTGAACTCAGTTTTACCAAGTTGTATTGTTTTTTAAATGAATGTGGAAGAATGACTAGGAGATTATTAGATGGCAATTTAGGTAACAGTGTGGGATCCTGATTCTGCTTCTTGTCTAACCAGGAGTGTTATCTTTTCTGTGCGTCAGTTTCCTCAACTACACCTTGAGATAACAGTCTCTATCACATATGCCACTGTGAGAACCAAATGAATATACAAAAAGTGTGTGGTAATACTGATCACATTATAAATGCTAGCTGTTACTTTTAAAGAGACCAGTATATAAATCATTACAACAAAATATTTTAGGAGCAATATTGTACAAACACGCAGAAAAAACTGACAAATCACTTAAAACTGTACTTAGGACTATCCAAAGTCTTCAATGTTGACAGCTGAGGTGACTAATAAAGAAAGCCCCAAGCCGGGTGTAATGCTAGCACTATGGGAGCTAGAGACAGAATGGCAAGTTCAAGCCCAGCTCGGGAAACTTAGCCACTTACCAAGACCCCTCCATCTTAAAAAAAATAAATAAATAAAGGGCTAGAAATGTAGCTCAGTGAAAAAGTCCTGGGTTCAATCCTAATAACAACAGCAGCCCAAGATGTGGGGTGAATGCTCACCATATGCTAGGCACCAAGCCAGCGATTTCACAGGTCCATGTTACAACTCTGCAGGATGTGTCCTTTCATTCTGGAAGAAAGCTCAGGGAAGTTAAACTTGCTATGCAGCAGTCACACATAAATGAAAAGAAACTGATTCATTTTCTCTCCTCTTGACAGCAGGGGAGGAACCCAGGGCCTGCAGCACGGTAGGCAAGCGTTCTGACACCGAGCTATATCCTCGCCCCGGAGTTGGAATTTTTAAAAGTCAGGGGATCTGGCAGGAGAGCGGCTTCGCAGAGGGCTCTTCAAAGGGTGTGGATAAACAGTGGATCAGTGAGCGCGGGCGGGAGATGGGGGGTGCTGGATGCTTCGAGACTGCTTTATCCACGGATTTCTGCCGGGCACATTTGGCCTTGAATCCCAGAGCAAAGCTAAGGTAAAGGGTTTCGAGCAGAACGACAGAGAGAGTGGAAACCGCCAAGTCCTCAGGAGAGCCGGAATGGCGGCCTGTCCCAAGCAGGGACAGCGCGCAGAGTGACACGGGCCCCACCAGCCCCTCCTCAAGTCCACTGCCCCGGCTGCCTCCCCTCGGGTTCCTTTGGACCCCTGAAGACAAGACGGGGAGCCGCCGGTCGCAGGCTGCTCACACGCTGCCACCTGTAGGGCAGAAGCCACCAACCTGAACTCCTCTGAGCCCTCAGGGAGCGCTGTCACGCTTCCTGTCCGTGCGACGCACTTCCGGTCACGTGCGGATGTGGGTGCGCTATGGTAAATCACATGACCGGGATCACATGATCCCCGTCCCGTGGGGGCCGCGACAGGATCTGGGCTTCTGAGGCTCCGCAGTCCTGGGCGGCGGGCGTCGTGGCTCCGGAGCGGTTGAGCATGCCAAGATGATGAGGGCAGCGGGCTGGGACGAGCTGGGGCGGGCCAAGCTGGAGGGTCTGCCCCCGGGCTCAGCATGGTCTCTTCCTTCCCGATGCAGATGAACCAAACGACCCCCGACCTGGAGCGGGCGCCAGCGTCCGAGGCCGAGTGGGAGCGACCTTGGTCGGTGGAGGAGATCCGCAGGAGCAGCCAGAACTGGTCGCTGGCGGCCGACGCGGGCGTGAGAGGCAGTCCCAGCATGCAACGGAGGGAGGGCAGGCGTGCGAGCACCCGCAGGCACGGGGAAGGGAAGGGGCCGTGGGCCTCTGCCCCAGAGTACTCGGTCTGTGGCCGGGACTCAACCTGTTTGGATGTACTAGCGATGTGCCCGACTCCATCCCAATGGGCAGATCCATTTCTGCTAAGCTGATGGTCCTGTTGAGGCGATTGTTTGGACCTGGACCGAGTGGAATGGGAGATGAGCCAGTATGTAGAGATCCCTGAGTGAGACTCTTCAAACGTAGGGTCTATAAAGCCCAGAACTCTTAATTCCCAAGTCCTGTATGAATAAAAATGACAACCCAAGAGGATTTCAAAATTCCTCAGAAAGGAGGTAGCCTGTAAGTGCCTGTCGACTCCATGCCACTCGTTAAGTGAGCTTTCTTAGTGTTTTGCAGTGCCAGTGCCAACATAAGGATTCAGCCTTTTATATCCCAACACGTGAAGGTGAAAGGATGCGGGGTTTTTTTGTTTTGACACTTAATTGTGTAATACTGATACTACTGTGTTTATTTTGAAAATAGCTACTACAGTTTCTACAGGAATTTTCTCAGCAGACCATCTCTAGGACCCATGAAATCAAGAAACAAGTGGACGGACTGATTCGGGAGACTAAAGC